CAGAGACCATTAAGACAACAAAGGACTTGTAGTCTCAGAGGGGGACACAGACATTAGTTAAGCACTTCTAAATTTTTATAGCAATTTCACTCTTAGGAGCAGCTTACTAAAACATTCACTTTATGGTGGATTCATGTATTTCTAAAAGATTACATCATATTCACTGTCACTGGAGGACCATTTTTCCCTCAGTAGTTCAGTATGAATTGTCTCGACTGCAACAAGATCCCAATCACACTTTCAAATCATAAAAGCCATTTGTTCAATATATTAAGGTTGAAACTGCTATTTTGTCTGCTAAGCAAACTTTCTTTTCTTAGTCCAATGCTGTCTAATTCTTATTTACTGTCCAAACTAACATGGAGCCAGGATACCACAAGCTTAAAAGGTTTATCACTCTCCACTATGTAATGAAAGCAAGTGTATGGTTACAAATCAGATTGCAAGGATTCTTTAACAACAGTAATTTCAAAGCTGATTTGTCTGATAAACCAAAGGACTAATTTCTGTTTTAATACCGACTCAGCTTCTCAGCCTGTTGGGCTTTTTTTCTCTCTCTCTCTCTCTCTCAAGACTCTATGCCTTTTTCATCTTTGAACAGCTCACAGCAACCAGCACAGTGCTGCGCACATACTAGGAACGCAACCAAATATTTGCTGAACACAGTTCCTGACAACAGACATTAAAGGCTTCATAAAGCCAGGCCAGGAAAAACAAAAGGACATGCAAACATATTTCTGGTTCGTTTTTATCCCATGATTGCACACTACCAACCTGAAAAATATTTCCAGGAATTTGCTTCTTTGAAAAAACTGCACATTTGTACAAGATTTTAGATTTGCATACCATGACAGGAAAATGCAAGTGAAGCTGGCATTTTACACTTTGTCCCTTCTTTGACAGAGATTTAGTACTAATGCTGTCCCTCCACCAAGTGCACCGTATCATATATAAAGACTATGAAATGAAAAAGAAGCTATAGCAGCTGTTTAAAACTTGTGGGTACAAAAAAAAAAAAAAAACTTGTGGGTACAATGTGTTTCTAGTACTAAATGCAAATTATTTGACCACCAAAACATTAAAATACCTAAGTTGCTAATGAAGCTAAATGGAAACAAATTAGATTATACTGGGGGAGAAAAGTGCTGACTGGAAGTAGGGACAAAGGGGTCCTTGTCCCTGCTCAGCCACTAATTCACTAGATGACCTTATCTAATTACTTAGCCTCTCTGGGACTCCACTTCTGTTTTCATATTCTTTTTAAGGTCCTTTTTTACCATGTTAAGTCGTGGGGGGTGGGGGAAGTCAAATTTCACCTGATAGCTTTAAGTATCTGAATTTGGATTTCTAGTAAAGGCAATTCACTAAAATGTCAGATGAGCTTAAACCCATTAGGAGTGGGGAAGGCAAGTATTGCTTACAGATTCAAGTTTCACCTAGACAGCAGCTGCTGCTGAGAGAATAGCCTATCTTTAACAGTAGAAAATTACACCCCTCTACAAATGGAGAAAATTGCTAAGAATGATTTAACTGATCTCAAGCATGCAGATTCATGGCTTTTCTGTGGGTCTTCTTTCCATATTCCTTCTGCTGGGATGCAGGAAAGTGCAGGGCTTGGCAGGCTTAGGAAACAAGGGGACAAGTAAGGAAGTTTTTATGCAAACCCAGACAGGCCCTTCTCAAATGATGCGCTGCATTAGACAGTCTATTCTTGTAAGTAATGCTCACCACCCAAACTAAATGACATTTCCTGTGGCTGCGATGGGAAGACGCCTGGACAAGTGAGGAATGTTATGTAACAACAATGAACCTAAAGGCTAAAGACTCCTACTCAGGAGGGGATTCCAAACATTTGGGGCCACAAGCAGTTAACAGTGATTTGTATATATCTGACTCCAGCTTTAATAAAACATATTTTCAAGTGATTTGATACCAAGACTACTGATGTGTATTACAGCACTATATCATCAACAGAACAAATTTATTACATTATCTTGGGAAAAAAAATCACTATAAAAATTCTTTTTCAAAATCACTCTAAAATATTTTAAAATCCATTGAACAAATGAGGAAGAGTAGGAGAGGGATCAGAGACTTGTCCACCAGCAGTTAATAATGGTCAGAGCACTCCTTTTAAACCTCGTCTGACTTCATGTTTCCGATCTTCACACTGCAAAACAGCATCCTGGCTCCAGTTTCCTTTCAGTCCTTACTATTTTCTATTTTGTCTGATTTAATACACTGTATTTTTCAGAGTATTTTGTCCTCCCCTGACATATGAGTTTCTCTGGGTTCTCAAAGCATCTTGTGCCTCATTCTCCCAAACTGGTCTTCTCATTGTGTCCTGGTGTCCCTATCTAAACTGAGTATCTAATGGTAGAGACTATGTAAACATGTGAGCTACCACATAAGGTCCGTGGCCTCCCCATTTCCAACCACTTCATCTCAATTCAATCACCTGTGATGCATCTGAGAACTTGACAATGAATAAAGACAGGAGAATCAATGCATTTGAGTTGTGGTGTTGGGCTGAATGTCCCATGGAATGCCAAAAGAACCTATGTCTTAAAACGCAGTTGTTGTTAAGTGGAGTTGACTATGTATGACTATGTATGAATCACAGTAAACCAAAGAGCAAGGGATTTGAATCACACCCTATTCCTGTGCCATCTTTATCACCTCTGCCACATTGGACCCCAATGTAACAATAGTGAATCAATCCATCTTGTTGAGGGTCTTCCCTTTATACTCATGGGTACAGAACTGTGAATTTGGTATTAATGATGTCATTTTCTCTTTCTGAAATGTGATTCAACCTTTTCAATTTCAAAAATGTACCCATTATAAGCAAACCATTATAAAATAAAAATTTTCTTGTAAAAAGTCAGATAAAATTGTTGTGGTTGTTGCTATGTGCTGGTGAGTTGCTTGCGACTCACGGCGACCCTATTGTACAACAGCCCTAAACTCTGCTCTGTCCTGTGCCAATCACACTGCCTCTGACACACCCATCCCGATTACCCCAGTCACTGAATCAATCCACCTCATAGAGGGTCTTCCCCTCCTGAACTGTCCCTCCACCCTACCAAGCATAATGTCCCTTTCCAAGGACTGGTCCCTCCTTACATCTCCAAATTATGCCCCAGAATCCTTGCCTCCAAGGAGCAATTACTGTAAGAAAAAAGGGGGGGAAAAGGTGTCCGGAGGCACACAGCTAATCAGTAGGAAGCAGCCTTTCAACTTCAAAAATGTCCATACAAAATTCTACTGTCCACTCATTTTATCCTCTTCTCATTGCCAGGGTAGTTGTCCAGAGCAGCCTTGATTAGGGGCTATTAGCACATAGATAAGATGTTACCCATCCTCTTTGCCTGTTGTGAAATCCTGAGACTCTAAAAAAAAAAATAAAATAAAAAAATGTGTAACTCAAACAACTAACTGTGATAAAAAAAAAGTAAACAAAAGCCATGTAAAAATCTTCAGATCCTACTTCTCTGTCCCTACCCACATACCGACCAGATGTAGGCTTATTCTCTCACCCCCAGGCCGATAGAGTAGTACAGGAGTGATACCTGAATAATTCATTTCTAAACATAATTTTCTGAGCCTGTAAACACTCATCCTTCATATTCCAGAACTGAAAGGCAAAAGTCAGACTTCCAGCTCCGCTTATCCACTGACCCAGATCCTCTTGGCCAGGTACACAGAAGGCTGCAGGAAGGGAGGGAATCTAGTGTTAAGAACAAAGCACCAAAAGGTAGCACCCACTGTTTACTAAACAGAGGAAGTGCATTTCTGCTTTGCCCAGAAATACAAAGTCACAAGATCTCGGTGAAAAACAGCGCAAAGGGACACAATCAGAGTATGAAGCCTGGGCTCATTGTGAAAACAGCAAGCAGCGTTCAAGGCTGAAGCAAACAGCTCCGTTCTGGTCAAGCAAAGAACCCTAAGGCTAAAATACGTTTCAAATGCGTTTCCCTTTAACACAGAGGCATTTCTAACAGGTCCAGGCTGGCTGCCCCTGGGATTTACACCATGCTCGGCTCTGGCCAACCCCCCACCCCCACCCACAATCCCACGCCAAAGCTAAATATTCGTCTCACTGCACTGGAAAAGCTCAGAAAAAGGCATCTGCGCGCCCCGAGCACGTGCAACTGTGCAGCATCTCACCACACTGTCACACTCACACTAGGGGCCGAACCCAAGGCAGGTCTTCAAATTCCGAGGCACTCTATCCTCACTGCTGATGAAAGGAGACATATATCAAAGTCTGTTTTCCTAACCTTGTGCCGGGAATTTAAGTGAGCGGTTTCCGCCCCTTGGTGAGGTCAGGTGACAACCCGCCGCTGAGGGCATCCAAGGAAGCCAGGGCCTCAGGTTTTATTGCTAGGGGCACAGTAACTGTATAAACTGCAGCATTTTGGGGGTCCTCGCAGTGCATGGCCCCATCCTTTCCCAGATCCACTCAACTCTGCAGAGGGACCCTGAGGTGGGGTGACTGATTTCCCCAGTTTTAAGACGCTTGTAGTTTTTGAGCCTTATCTAACAGATGAGTAGGGTGGGGAGACCCACCAAACCTGGGACACAGTAGGGAGACAAAGATCACCCCAAAGCACATTCCATCAGCCCTTTGCCGGGCCCGGCTTCCTGTGGGGTTTATTCCCTCCGCATAAAGTTTAAGGCAGTTCACTTTCAAAGGTCCATTGTTCCCTTCCCCATAAATGCAACGAACAAGAGAAATCAAGACGCGGTTGCCTGGGAGCCTTTCTTATGCAGAGGATTTACTCGGGGGAAGTCTGGCTACCCTAAGGCAGAGAGGAGAGGCGGGGGAAGGAGGCGCGAGGGCGCGGAAGAGGCTTTCCACTTCTGCAGCGCGGCCCGGGTCGCCTGGGGCCCGGGAGGTGCGAGTCCAGGGTCCCCCCCATAGCGCCCCGCATCCTCGAGGTGGCCCATCCGTGCACCAGGGGGCGGGGCGGGCCCGGTGACTCCGCGCTTCTTACCTTCCCGTTCCCTGCTTAGCGTCGGTCAGCTCAGGTGCCTACACAGAGGTCCAAAGGGACAGAGCCGGGTTCCTGGCGACCCGGGGTCCGGACCCCCTCTCCATGGCCAGGGAGCTCCCAGAGCCTCAGCGTCCGCCGCCGCTGCTGCTTTCCCCCACGGGCAGCCGCAGCCTCAGGCTGGAGGTGAAAGGCTCTCCTGCCGGGATGACGCGCTGCCCTCCGCCTCGGCCTCCTCCCGCTCGAGCCGGCGCCGCGCTCTGTCCGCTCCGTTCCCTCCGGGAGGAAGAGGAGGAGAATCGCGGCCGCGGCGGCGCAGGCCGAGCGCCCCCGCCACAGTAGGGGGGAGGTGGCGGCGCGGGACGGAGCGCAGTCCCGAGGTCGCGCTCGGCGCTGGTCGGCGGGCACCGCGGCTCACGGGGGTCGCGCTCAGCCTCCGACGGCCACACAAGCGGCCCGGCTCTGCGCGGCCGAGAGCTGCGGATTGGGCGGCCGCGCCGGAGGGAGGCCGACGGAGAGGAGGAGCCTCGGGCCGGGGGCGGTGTCCGCGCAGGGCTCCTCCCACCGCCTGGCCCGGCGCGCGCTGGGGACGCCCGGGAACGACGCCAGAGCGCACCGTGCGGTGCGGGGTTCGCAGCCAGCGTCCGGGCCACGACTCCAGGGCCCAGGCCGCGCACCGGGCCTGCACCCCCATAGATTCAAGCAGAGCCCAATCCTGCCCTCAACTCCAAGATGATCCTAACACTTCGACTACATCACCCCAAATGAGCCTGACCCTCCACATCATCACCCCAACTCACCCTGACCCTACCCTTATTACCCTGAGCCTGAACCTCCACTTCCATCACGCCAACTGAGCCTGACTCCAGACTCCATTACCCTGAGTCTGACCCTCCACCTCCATCACCCTGAGCCTGAACCTCCACCTCCACCCCAACTGAGCACGACCCTCCACTTCCGTCACCCCAACCGAGCCTGACCCCCCACCCCAACACCCTGAGTCTGACCCTCCACCTCCATTAGCCAAACTGAGCCTGACCCTCCACCCCATCACCTCAACTGAGCCTAATCCCCACCCCATCACCCTGAGTCTGACCCTCCACTCCATCACCCCAGCCGAGCCTGACCCTACGTTCCTATAACCAGAAGAACTGAACTCTCTTTACTCCAGAGTCTGCATCTTCATCACCTAGGGCTAAGATTGACCTCGCACTTCTTCACTCCAGAAGGAGCTGAGCTGTACCCTCCCTCATCATCTCAGACTGAGCCTGACCCTGGTTGCGCCCCAGGTTGGACTTGGCACCGTGACCCGATTATCCCAAATTCATTCTGCCGCCCGCATTGGAGCTGCCCTCACCTGAACGGCCGTGAACGCCAAGTACCCTGCGCTCTCAGAAAAGCCGGTCTCTCAGACCCCAGGCTGCTGTCCGCTCACTTGGAGGGACACCAACACCCGGCTCTCAAATATACCTACGTCTCCCCCGCGCTCCCTGTCCGCGCGGCTCTGGAGTAGGCGCTGAAAGCCACTCCCCAGCCCATCTAAACCCCAAAGCACCTCTCTCTCTCTCTCTCTCTCTCTCTGGACACCCAGGCCGAGCTAGGGTAGCCCTGCCGCCACCCCGCCCCTCGCTGGAGCTGCTCTCACTTCGGAAAAGCCTTGGCTCGCGCCGCTGAGGGCGCGGCCAGGGCTGGATCAGTCAGAACCACGAGGCCCCGCTAGTGACAGCTGCAGACCTGCCAAGTCCTGACCGTCGTCATCCTCTATTTAGTTCGGAATTGGACGTTTCCCCGCTAGGAAACTCTTTCATTGAATACTGTACAAATAAGATTATTCAGTTCAGTTTTGTGATTTTTTTAAATTATTAATAAAAAGCTCAGTCGTGTAACCACGACACACCCAGCAGGCAAGATGGGGAATTCCCTATTTCTAAGGGTTTTGTTTAGGACTTTGTAGAAGAAATTAACGTTTCCAAATCTTTATGGATGAAAAAGAATTCTCTGGGGGCACTCATGGGGGGGGGCGGGGGGGGGGGAAGAATCCCAGACCTCACCCAACTCACTGAGTCAGAGGTGCCTGGAATATGTATGTTTGGGAAACAGTGATAGAAAGCATCAGTGAATTACTTAAAACTTTAAAGAGATGCCTTTAACAAAGCACCACTCTTGAGTGTTTAGACATCATCCTCCTCTGGTGGCGTTGATGCGAACCCAAAGGTGGTGCATCTCCATCCAGCAGTTCGAATCCCACCAGCTGCTCTGAGGGAGACAGAAGCGCCATCTCCCCCAATGTGATTTACAGCTGCTGAAGGGTCAACTAGACAGCAATGAGTGAGAGAGTGAGTCACTTCTAGACAGTCACTCAGTGGTGAAAATGGTTGCGTGCCCAGCTACTAGGAAGGTTCCAGGTGTGAGTTCACCCATCCACAAGCATCTTGGCAGGAAGGTGTGAAGTCTACTTCTGAGAAATCAGCCATCGAACCCCTAGAAGCATATCTGACTCTGATATACCAGTAACATCAGAGTCAGAAGCAACTACACACACGGCTGACTGGGTACTTTATGAGGAAGCAGACAAATTCCCAAAACAAGGCAGATTCCAAGAGACAAACAGAAGGGACAAAGGCCTATTCCAGGGGCATTCTTTATTAATCATCCTACCCATTTTCCCAGAGCCTGGTGTTGTGGATTGAGTTCTGTCTCTCAAAATGTGTTGAAATCTTATACATGAGCCCATTTGAAAGTGAGATTTTCTTTGTCATGCTCTCTCCTTCATTGCTGTCAATTAGAACAGACTCATAGCTGACGCTCCAGCCAGTTTTGTGTTGTCGCTGTCATTGTGTGCCATTGAGTCGGGATCGACCCATAGCTAACCAGAGGGGTTTCAGAGACAGTAAACTTGTGGGAGAGGAGACTGCCCATTCTTCTCCCAAGGAGCTGAACAGATGAATTCAAACGGCGTGCCCTTGGGATCGCAGCACAGCTTCTTACTACTGGATGAGAAGGCCCTGGTGAATTCAAGTCATCAGAGAGGTGCCACCTTTGGGTTAGCATGGCAACTACCCATGGAATATGTCACCAGAGCCCCAGTGAGGCTGTATCCTTGTAGCGAATTTTCTAAACATAGTCACTCTTGAGTTATAAAGGAGCGTTGAGATACAGAGACACAGCCATCAGTGCTGACTTATAATGACTCTCTATCAGGTTTCCAGCATCAACAATAGAGAGAGAGATCAGCTGGCCCAGTGGACAGAAAGTGATACTACTAAGCCAAAGGTGGGTGACTTTTAATCCACGGGCCTCCGGCCTCGAGCCTCAGGCCTGTCTTTCATTGTTTTTGTTCAGACATTCATTCCTCTAGATCGTATAGCCCTGGTATACAAGTTGCCGTACAGCGGTAACTTGTGGTTGCTGTGAGGCTGAACACTGTGACACTAATGTGTCAAACGCATTAATGGTTGGCTACCCAATGTGGACAGAGAGTGGGGTGGAGCTCCCTGATTAAAACAAGCTTGGAAGCAGGAGTGGCATTCACTTCCATAATAGCTTGCCTCTGGAAACCCTATGAACCTGGAAAGAGGATGAAAGACACCCTAGCGTTAAGGACCCTTCTTCATAGGGTCGCTATGAGTCGCCTGCGATTCGAGGGCACTCAACAACAACAACAATCAGGTTTCCAAGGCTATAAAGCTTAAGGGAAGGTAACTGCTGCCTTCCTCCCACCTCGTGGCTGCTGGATTTATATGCACAGAGTAGTGCAGTCTTTTACTTAGTAGACCAGCACCTACAAACTATCCAGAAGAATTCCTAGAGATGAGAGAAGGCCAGAATTAGGGGGAGGAAAGAGATAGATGTCATGCTGACATCACCAAGGAACTGAACAACCATGAGGCTACAGCAGCTAAGGATTTTCCCTCCAACCTCACCTCCCATAGGCCGTCAGCCAGTACCTTCCCCTATAGCTATGATGTGAGGGTGGACTATTAGCTACTTACTGTTTGTTGTTCTTTGATGCCGTCGAGTGGTAGACGACTCATAGTAACCCTATGAACGAATGGCCTGAGCACATTAGCTACTTAGGAGAAAACAAATCTCTGTTCATTAGTTACCCACCGGTAGCTACTGTTGCAGGAGAATCAGACACAAAGATCTGGGAGACGGAGCTGTGACACTATCCCACTGAGCCTAGGAATCTCTCATTTTGTGATTTACTTCTCAGGGACTCCTTTTCATGTAAGCATCCTCTTTAAAATGAAAACATTCATTAAACAATGAAGAAGAATTTTTATTGTCACCTTTGGAATTTGAGTGATCCATGGACTTGATTCTTCTATAGGCTCTGGAGCTAGAATAGGCCTCCTGAGATTAGTGAATCTAGCAGTTAGGAAATCAAAAGGCATGTTACATTGGAAAAGCCTGAAATCAGAGACCTCTCCTAAGTTCTGAAGAGCAGGAAGTCAGTTTAAAGACCAAGGTGTACCTGATCCAAGCCATGACCTTTTCAGTTATGTGCTATGAATCTAGCAGTTTATGGTGAATAAAGATGACAGAAGAAGAATTGATTCCTTTAAGCTGTGGTGCTGGGAAGGGCACTAAATATTTCATAGACTGATAAAAGAATAAACAAATATATCTTGGGGTGAGGGTTTCTTAAAAAAATGTAAAACTTCATCTCACCTACTTTGAGCATGTTGTTAGGAGGGGCTAGTCCTTGGAAAAAGCCTTCATGCTCCAAAAAGTGGAGAGAAAGACTCTCAGTAAGATGGATTGATGCAGTGACTATAATAGTTCCTGGCTCTAGTGTGGCAGAAGTAATGAAGATGTGGCAGGTTTTGTAGCATAACTTTGAGTCCTACTTGACTCCACAACACCTGACAACAACAACAACAGAAGGCTTCCTGCAACCTCCATCTTGGGAATCGATGTGAACTAGGTTGAGGCAAATTTGTAGCTGAGGTTGTGCCTGAAAGAGCTGGCTGCTGGCTGCAGCAGGGCCTAAAGGTAGACTTGGGAGGTACATCTCAGCATGACACACTGCTGTGGTCCCTTGCCACACTGCACAGTCCTTTCTATAGGAGGAGAGAGGGCCCCAGATGTGGGACTCACGTTACATGTATTCCC